TTTTTCCACTGGAAAAAATGCACATGGAATCTCCCTTTACTTCGCTCCTGAGACCAATGAAAGCTTGGGGCTTCTCTTGAGCTGAAGATCTGAGGCTGCAAAGCAAAAGGATTGCTGAGAACAATTACAAAGCACCGGAGAAAGGAAGCTGAATACAATCTATGAAAGGAAAATGAATACTACAATCAATTACAAAAGATCCCTCACCAGGAATCCAGATTTGTTTTGGTGATAGTTTATTATAGAGGTCTCCCTGTTTGTTTGAGGGGGGGGGGGACCCCCCTTTACTAATCAGGATCCAACATTATATGATATTATATATGTTTGTTTTCTTCGCAACTCACTCACCTCCACCTGATCTTCTTTCACCTTCATGACCCTGACCTCGATCTGCCTCCCAACACTCAAGACATCCTCCACCTTCTCAGTGTAGCCCTCCTGCAGTTGGCCGATATGGATCCAGCCCGGTTTCTTTCCAGGCAGATCCAAGTCGGCCCCGGCTTTCTTCAAATTCGTGACGGTCGCTGAACAGGCCATCCCAATCACCAGCTCTTCGGACTGCTCCCCTTTCGCACGCAGCACCCAATGGGGGCGCCCGATGTGCAGCGGGCGCCCGCGCCCGGCGAAAAGGAAGCTCAGCTCGCGTGGGAGGCACAGGATGCCCAACAGGATCAAGAGGCCGGCAGTTCGCGCCATGGCCAACGTTCGGTGGGTTTTCCAAATGGACCGACGCTGGGTGTACGGCCTATGTTTCGAGCCTTCAAAGCAGCTAGAGTCCTGAGGCACGGTAACGTCCAAGCGATGAACGGCCTTCTTCTGCTACACGAAGTCCAAGACCCCCCGGTGTGTTTTTGGTGCCTGGTACAAGTAATAGATGTCTTTTCCTGCGCAACCGCAAACTAACCCGACACTCCTTGTCTTTGTCTTTGGGAGACAGCCAAACGATGAAACACAGGGATGGTGTTGTCCATCTTCCGCCGGACGACGACCGGACGACGACCGGTCGACGACCCGAAGCCGGTCGACCGGACGACGACCGGAAGCGCGGAAGCCCGGAAGTGCCACGTGAGTCCACCAGTCCACGTCGTTGGACGCTGACTTGATAGAAGGAGCGGCCGTGGGTCAAAGAAACAAAGCCCTAAGCTTGATCGCCCTATGGGATCCTATTGGATCAAATTTCAGTTTGGGTGGGCGACCAGGGTCCCCGGTTTTGACCCACAACAACATGGATTTGGACCGCCATGAACCTCCATC